ATATATCACATAATTTTCAAACAACACATCATTGGTTCATGTTATTATATTATATTCTAATATGTATGTGTTGTCATATATCACTACTGAAGTATCATGTTACCATTAATTAATTCGCGAATAAAACAAAATTATGAAAATCAAAACCACATATTAAAAATTATAGATGAACTTATACTTTAATCTTAAAAAAATTAAAAATTTACTTGATAATATTATGCATCAATCTATTTTTTTTTTTAATTTTGTATAAATAATTTTATAACTATGCACCTGGAAAATATCGCAATAACTACGTTAATTTTATTAAGTGATTATTTTCATGAAAATTTTATTTTCACAAATATTTATACAACAATAATCATAATAAAGTTTAAATTTATCACCTCGTGCTAATTAAAAAGTATATTATATTTTCATAGAATGCGGTATGTAAACATAAAATTGATGAGGTGATTTTAATTATATTTCAGACATTTTTTCATAATTATTAAGGAAAGTCATATTAATGAACTAAATGGAGTTCATAATTAATAAACATATAGTAAATCAAATATTTAATAAAATAACACGAAAATATTAATTTTATCAATGAAAAATATTTATGTCTCTCGAAGTTTAAATAAAAAATTAATATTTTATTAAATGTTGTAAGTAGACTAATTTATTGATGCAGTTTTTACGCGGTTGATCCTTCACACTTCACAGTCACATGTTCCTCAAGTGAAGTGATCATCGCAAGAAAGTGTTTTAAACTCAACTACAACCTGTTACCTTTTTCTTCCTAAAATTATAGGTAAATATTGTTCAATAAGTGATTAAGGAAAAGGGTACAAAATATTTATTATGCATAAAATATAAATATAAATTTTATATTTTAATTAATTTCAAAAATATTTGAAATCATTATTAGTTTTTTTTAATAAATATTTATGAATATTTTTTTGTGAATATAACCTCAAATATAATGAATCACGTGAATTTATTAACGAGATGAGTTGAATGGTAGTTAAATATTTTATCTTAATATATTGTAGGAATAATCTATTTAGTAAGAAGTTTCGTTATCTATCATAGTCATGCGTAAAAATCTTATAGGGTAGCGACAATCACAATATTATAAACATGATTAGTTTCTAGTCTATTGGGATTAAGAATACTTGTGATAGGTAAAAAAAATTGTGTAAACTCATTTTTTAATCATCTTATTAATATAAAATATTTACGATAATTAATATTCATTGAAAAATTTAATTGAGACCATTTTTAATAGATCTTCCTTTTCAATCACGTTTTTTTTATTCATGAAACTTCAATTCAATACCTTATTTAAAAAGATTGAGTTTAACTTTCCTCAGACTAATAATTTATTAATATTCATTGTAAATGCAAGTGAAAATGTATTCATTTTTAATTTGCTTTAAATTTAATTTAAGATTTTTAAAGACAAATTAACTTTTGTTTCGATAAATGATCCTTGTAAAAAAAACTCTAATAATGTTCAAGTCCAAAACATATAAAAGGTAACCTATTTTCCTTTAACCCTAAAAACAAGTTACATACTTGTGCTTGAATATATCAAAATCTCAAATTTTTTTGAGACAATTTTTAGAAATTTCAGCATGATCACATGTAACCTAATTACCGTAAATATTTATAGTTTTCAAGGTTAAACAGTTGAGTCTTGTAACTGAAAAAGTGATATGCATGTACCTGATCAGATAGCTAGACTCATCTTCCAAATGTAATCGATCCTTTGACATCTGCACGAATGTCCGCAACAAACTCGCAAGTTGCAGTGAAGTAATCCATCTCCAATAACTCACACAAATGTTAAATCATATTTCCAAGTGATGACAATTGTCAAACATCTCAACTATGCCGGCGGCTAACCAGTGACATTCTTCTTCTTCTTCATTATTATCTTAAATTAAATATTTGCTCCTTTCAAATCGCGTATCAAATCGCGTGATTCAACTCCGAGGCCGAGCACGCTTCGGCCGAACACTCTCAAGCTGAGCATTCTCGCGGATCAAATACACTTCGCGTATCAAATCGCATGATCTGACTCTGAGGCCGAGCACGCTTCGGCCGAACACTCTCAAGACGAGCACTCTCGCGGATCAAATACACTTCGTGTATCAAATCGCATGATCCGACTCCGAGGCCGAGCACGCTTCGGCCGAACACTCTCAAGATGAGCACTCTCGCGGATCAAATACACTTCGCGTATGAAATCGCATGATCCGACTCCGAGGCCGAGCACGCTTCGGCCGAACACTCTTAAGCCGAGCACTCTCGCGTGCTCCAACACACTTCACGCATCAAATCGCGACCCAACATTTCGGGGCCGACCACGCTTAGGCCGAACAGGCTCAAGCCGAGCACTCTCGCGGATTAAATACACCGCGTATCAAATCGCGTGATCTGACTCCGAGGTCGAGCACGCTTCGGCCAAACACTCTCAAGATGAGCACTCTTGCGGATCAAATACACTTCGCATATCAAATCGCATGATCTGACTCTGAGGCCGAGCACGCTTCGGCCGAACACGCTCAAGCCGACTCTCGCGGATCAAATACATCGCGTATCAAATTGCATGATCTGACTCCGAGGCCGAGCACGCTTCGGCCGAACACTCTCAAGACGAGCACTCTCGCCGATCAAATACACTTCTGCGTATCAAATCGCATGATCCGACTCCGAGGCCGAGCACACTTCGGCCGAACACTCTCAAGTCGAGCACTCGCACGTACTCTAGCATTTCGAGGCCGAGCACGCCTAGGCGGAGCACTCCTGAGCCGAACTTACACCAAGCATTAATCCGCGACAAACATGAATTTAACCCCCCTTCGGCCGAGCATACCATTCGGTTGTGTTTATATTACTAGGCGTTAATGAATATGACAAAAAATTGGAAAGTAAAATATTCCATTAAAGTATGGCCAATCAGTACGACTACTTACACAAAAAATCATCTTTGTCCACGACGCCAATGACCGATCACAAAAGGCACTAATGGCCTGATTACAAGCAAGCGAAAAATCCTAACCCTAACCTACTACCACGAGAGTCAACCTCTTACACTGTGGCCGAGTCCTCCGGATTCCCATCGCCGACCACATCAATGATCGGCTCCTCCTCCCTTGCCGGTGGGGCCTCTTCGTCAGGCTGGGCACCCTGAGGGAACTCGACGTAACTTATGAACTTTCCACCGTAGAAATCTCGACTAACATCAAAATTGAAGTCAGCCGGGACCTCACAAAAGTAGAAGGCCTGTCGCATAGCATGTTGGAAGCCGGCATCGTGCTGGTCGAGAATTTTCTCGGTGGCCTCGGCTTCGAACTTGGTAGCAGCCTCATTTAGCCGAGCAATCTCGGCAGCTGCAGCGGTGGCCTCGACTTTCATTTTCTGGACCGTCAACTTCAAGTCGTCGGCCTCTCTCCTATGGGCGTCGGCTGGCCTCTTCAGTTCTTCGGTCGACTCGGTGACCTTTGCATTGGCGGTCAATGCCTCCTTCAACGTCACCTCAACCTCCTTAAGCCGCCCCTGCAACCTCTCCTCGGAGACAACCGACCTCATCATAACATGCTTAGCAATTAGGGAGGACGTTTGGCACAAGGAAATTCGAACCGGCCACGACCACCGAGGTTAGCAAAACCTACTACACTAGGAACATGCACACTACTACTAGCGGTCCGAAGCAACATCTGCCACTACATGCCGAGAACCACAACCCTATACAATTAAAACGTCTTCGTCTTTCCCATCCTCGACGCTGCGGAGGTTGTATACCGTATGGTGGCTGACTAGGCCGAAACCCGAGTTCGTGGCCGACTAGGCCGAATACCCGAGTTCATGGCCGACTAGGCCGAATACCCGAGTTCGTGGCCGACTAGGCCGAATACCCGAGTTCGTGGACGACCAGGTCGAATACCCGAGCCCACCGACCACTCACAATCTGAACGGAACGTGTCGGTGTGCTCGGCCAAGTCACGGATTCACGCCAGGATAATTATGGAGAGGTTAATTTATGTAATGCACCGGATTAGCCCCCTAATTTCCCGGGGCCCAGTCCTTAATCGCGGCCCAATAAGAATCACTATAAATAGGACCCTAGCGAGGTACGTAACTAACTTTCAACTACCACATTTATTACGCCGAGCACTTACTTGAGCGTTGGAGTGTCTTTGCAGGCACACTCCCCCTCACATCGGACTACCCGGATAGGAACGAGAAGACCGAGACCCAGGATCAGACTCGCTACAACAAGGATAAGTGAAGTGTGTATCCTAACACAGGAACAGTGATGGTAGGTTCAGTGAAGTATGCCAGTATGGTAGTGATGGCCATAGCAACGTGGGCGAGTTTCTGAAAGTTAAGCTTGACGACAGTGTCAACAAACATCTTAGTATCGACACCGGTGTTCCCTGGGGGTATGTCGACAACGTAAGACTCCAACACAATGGTGTAAACCTTACCCTCTCTGTTCAACTTGTTCACGGACCGATAGTTGTGGAGCCTGTGCTCCTCCACGCCGGCACCCCCGACACGACGGTCACCTCTCTGATGCTGCCAATGCCGCCGTCGCCTGAGCGCATGTTGCAACTCCGTGTTCCATTTGTCTTTTATTTATTTATATTTTTTGATGATGATTGCTCTTCTCAGCCAAAGAAAATGAGTGTACTTTAATTAATTAATAAACTTCTACATATTTTCCTTTTGGCCTTAAGCATCAATATCAATGTGAAAGATCTTGTTTTTACGATAAAAAATACTTTGATATGCTCCTCTCACGGATTTAGCTAAAGTGGATCGAATTAAGTATTAATTAAGGAAAAACTTTTTATAAGTTTGTCCAATTATAGTTGAAAGAGCGTACTTTTCTTGTTTCAGTTTTAGGTTTCAACAGCAAAACCTTGGGTGGGAAAGGTTCAAACCAAAAACCATGTTCTCTAATTCTACTTTTTAAACTCCAATGAACCTTTTTACTCCCACTTTGCACGTTAACAATAGCGCCACCAAAGACCGCACAAATGTACGATTTCTCTACCTTTCTGTGTCTCTTGCTTTTATTCTCATTTCCATGTCTATATATGCGTGTGGTGTGTGTGGGTTAGTAAGCCCGAGGGGTATTCTTTGAGAAATGGGAATAGCTAGGAAATGTTCATATTGTGGTAACTTGGGTCACAATGCAAGGACTTGTAAAAGTCTCAGTCACAGACAACTAAAGCTCTTCGGAGTGCAACTTGATGTTTATTCTTCTTCATCATTACCTTCGTATTCTGCCACCCAAACAAGTTTCAGCACCAACTACTTGTTCTCTTCGCCTGTATCCTCCTCCTTTTCCTCGCCTTCCCTGCCTCCTGCAAATGATAATTCAGATAGTTACTTCCTAGACACAAAAAAAGGTTATCTTAATTTTCTCATATTTTTTGAATTTCAATAAATTTGATACTTGTAAAATTGTTTTTTTTTTTTTTAGTTTCTATAATTTGAAAAAAATTTATTTTAGACTTTACTCACATGTTGTTAGTGATTATGTCAAGTAAAACTTATTTATTATTAAATTTATTGTATCAAAATTTATTTTTATTATAATTGTTAATGAAAACATGCATCATGTTAATTTTAACTAAAATTGTAATTATTTTTTAAAATTTATATATAAAACATTAATGGACAAAAGCTATGAAAATTTGTAGTAACTTTGCAAATCAAGAGAAGTATGGTATTTGTACTTGTTTATTTTCCAATGATTGTGTTATGGTGAACTCAGGTGTGTCGTGGACAGAGGAGGAACATCAAATATTTCTTGCAGGGCTTGAGAAGTTGGGGAAGGGAAACTTGAGAGGCATGTCTAGAAGCTTTGTCACAACAAGAACGTCTACCCAAGTTGATAGGCACGCACAAAAGTATTTTCTCCGTCAATCAAACAATACACTCAATAGAACAAAACACCGTTCCACCCTATTTCATGTATGCGAAGTTTCTCCATTTATGTGATTTATAACTAGTTGAAAGAGTACCTGCATGCCTATATAAATGAATTCACAAACATTGCTATAACTCATGCTTAGCTTTTACCATTTGGCCAGAGTTGGTTTTAAAAACTCATTCTACACACATTTTTGGATTACATGAAACATGCATTTTGTTTAGATGTCTTTAATTTAACTTTTTATCAACTGCTTTAGCCAATTAACTAGCAATCGATTTTTACGTTCTCAGGGGCTCTCTCAGGGGCTCTCGCATCCTCATTCAGTGCTGAATTGGCCTATCACTTCAAATGATTGTACGTTCCAGAGCGTGTTCCTGGATTTAGAACTCAAACTTGCAACTCCCAAGCCATTGGAGCTGCCTTTTTAAGTTATCCACTAGTATGTGATATTTGAAGTAATTTTCTTAAGATATGGTTAAATTTCTAAATTAAGTCATACAGGAAGTGTCAAGCTAATGACAATAAAGAAGCGCTTACTGGGAGACAACTCAACCATTTTGTTTATTGAAGGTAACTGGAAGTGGGAGCGTGAAAGGAGAACAAAATATGCTTCTTCCAGGTAAGTTTACAAAACTGACAAAACGGCTCAGTCGTTTGGCTGCAGTGTCTAATTTTTAGCTAAAATTTTCCTCACAGGGGAAAAACGGCTCAGCCCTTGAAAACGGCTCAGCCCCTCATATCAGCAAAACATTTTGGTTGAAAATTCTGCATCAAATGGCTGAGCGCTTTCAAAGCGCTCAGCGCTTTTCTTTATATTGCTCTCTGCACCCAAACAGCTGAGCGCCTAAAAAGGGCCCAGCGCCTAAAAAAAAAAACTCTTCTATTCCTCTTTCTTCTCTTATCATTGAATTTTGGAAAACCCCCTTTTCTCTTACTCGCGCCCCTTCCCCTTTCACTTTACTCTTTTCATTCTCTTTCTCCTTTAGTTTCTTGCGCAAGATGCTTCCTGCACCTTTGCTTCCGTTCAGTCTCCGTCGTTGTTTCCGGCAACTGGGTTTCGCCTCTTTCTATTCATTCTTTCTTTTGTCAAAGGGGTCCTAGGTACTTCGATTTCTCTATTCTCTCTCCTTTCTCCCATCTTCTCCTTCTTCGAGTCTTTTCGCTTTCTTGATGGGTAAAGAGAGTGGTGCCGGGTCTTCTGCGCCTGCCAGGGGTTCCTGGTTACGATTGGTTAGAAAGGCCACCGCTGAGAAGAGTGATTCGCCTAAGGATCTAGAGCCAGGGGTTCCTGGTTACGATTGGGTCAAACGCGATGTGGCCGAGGTCCAAAGCGTGTTCCGGTCGTTCCTTGAGGTCAACGTGATTTGGAAGATACACCGGATTTGTGACCCTTCCATTTCTCGGATGATCCGGCTTGAACCCTGTCAGGCCGGTGAAGGTGTGTATATGGGGAGGTCCACTGACCCTCCCCATTTCTATATATACTAGTGTTTCTTCAGAGACCTGGGTGTCCGTCTTCCCTTCATTCAATTTGAGTGTGATTTTTTGGACTTCATCAACTCGGCTCCTTGCTAGTTGCAGCCCAACAGTTGGGGTTTTTTGCGGGCTTTTCAAGTCCTTTGTACAGTTCTAGGGATAGAGGTGTCTCTTCCCGTCTTTCTTCATTTTTATCAGTTGAAGCTAGGCGTTCCCCCTTACGGCATATTATCTCTGAATCGGGGTAGGGATGGGGGTTTGTTCACTCTCTACTCCCAGTCATACAAAAATTTTAAACAAGAATTTTTCCAGGTTGCCCTTGTGGATGTCGACCCGATGGAGGATGGGGCATTCTACTTTGGCGGCTTGCCGAAGTTCCCCTTCTATTGGTGCCCCAAATCGTCTAGGGTTCACGAGGAGGGCCAAATGCATGGGGGTTTGTTCACTCTCTACTCCCAGTCATACAAAAATTTTAAACAAGAATTTTTCCAGGTTGCCCTTGTGGATGTCGACCCGATGGAGGATGGGGCATTCTACTTTGGCGGCTTGCCGAAGTTCCCCTTCTATTGGTGCCCCAAATCGTCTAGGTTTCACGAGGAGGTCCAATTGCAATTGAAGGCTGCGGAGTTGGCCGCCATTGAAGATCTTAAGGCGCTCACTCGGCTGCTGGATTGCAAGCTCATCCTGTCGCTCGAGAACTCGGTGCACAGGGAGAGGGGCCTGGAGAGTGAGTATCTTGTGTTTTGGTAGTTTGTTAGGGTTTGTGTAATTTTCCTTTGCTGATGTGTTTTGTTTTCTATTTGCAGGCATCATGGGGAAGAACTTGTGGCGTGAGCTGAAGCACCGCTACAATGTTACCGAGCTCGAGGTCCCCGAGCCTCAAGAGGAGGAGGGCTCCCCCTTGAAGGTCAACCGAAAAAGAAATAGGGGCATGAAAGAGGTCGGGGGAACCTCTACCCCTCGCGAAACGGAGGAGGTTACCTCCAAGGCCGTTGATGTATATATATATATATATATATATATATATATCTTTATTTTTCACCTATTAATCCTAAAATATATCCTATTGAAAATAATTTTAATTTGTTATCCCAATTAATTTTGATCACAAGACATTATTCTTTCTTGCAAACTCAACTTATTTGCTTCAAATTTAAGAATAAACTAGAGAGAGAAAATGATATCATGACAAATTTGACTATTTTCATATAAAGATTGTGTTTATCCTCCTATTTTTTTTTTATATAACATAATTTGATATTATTTAAATCCTATATGATAATATAATGTTAAATTCAATTAATCTTATTCATTCAGTTTTTATTCTATATAATCATTAATCTTAATTTTAATCTTTTATTCAAATCACCAATCCCCAAACATGGTGGTTGTCACCGCTATTATAATGAGTTTAAGGTAATTGACTAATTGGTAACCTTATCTTATAAATTATAAAAACTTATAAATTAATTAAATTAAAAGTATTTGATAAGATAATTTGATATAACTAATTAATGTAAAATGACATGAATTTATTTAATAATTAGAGTAAAATAAAAACAAGTAGGCAAAATAATTTTTAAATTAATAAGAATAATTAAAAAAAGGATGGAAAAAAAACTAAGAATTAAGTTATAAACTAACTTCAATTAGACTATGAAAATAAACTATAAAAGCTTATTTGATGGTCAAGATAGGATAAGATATCACACAAGAGTATAAGATAGGATAAAAGTAAGAAAGAAATTAACCATATCACATGTTTGATGCACATCAAGATAACAAACAAAAGAACATTATTATAATATATGTTTTGTAATTAATATATACCAATAAGATATTATATAAAATATATTTTAATAAAAAAAATCTTTTCATTAAAATTACACAATTTGTTTTTGAGATAAGCTTTAATTTAATTGTTCAGAATTTGAATATAAAAAAATATAATCTTAACTGTATAATACAATTTTTTTTATAATATAATTTTCTTAAAATTAAAATACAATATTTTTAAAATTATAATTATTATTAATAATTTTTTATTTTAATATTTTAGTTAATAATATACTTTAAATTTACATGTCAATATTATTATAATTATATATATATATATTATATAAATTGGTATTATATAATATTTATTGTCATATAATTTATAATTTGATATTTAATATTATATATGCTATATTTATTATATATATTTTACAATTTTGTATATAATATAATATATAATAATTATAATTTTAATATTTTAGTTAACAATATAATTTAAATTTACTTGTCAAATTATTATAATTATATATAAAGTAAAATGTTCAATTTTAGTTTTAAAAAGTTGTATGTATGTTTGTGCGTGTATGTGTGTGTGAGTGTCTCTGCATGTATGCGTGTGTTATATAGATTAATATATACATTATAATATATAATATAGAGGATGAATCTACTTATTCCAAAAATAAGTTTACTTATATATTATATAAATTAACATATACATTATAATATATAATATAAAAAAGGGATTCACTTATTCAAGGAATACATTTACTTATATTTACTTTACTCAATAGTTAATGTATAAGATTAAGTTTGTAAAGTTTTAAAAAATTTGAAAATCATTTGATATTTCATTTCATTAATTCAAATTAACATATAATTATAAAAATATTTTATATGCTAATTTTAATTAATAAAAAAATCTAATAATTTTCAAATTATTTGAAACTTTATATATAAACTTGACTATATATGAAGAACTTTTAATTCAACAATTGGATAAATAAAATTTGATGTAAAACATGAATTATTAAGTGAAATAAAACTAAGTAAACTTATTTTTAGAATAAGTGAACCCTTCCTTCATAATATAACATTATATAAATGAATATTATATATATAATATATTATTATATATTTTATAAATTAATATTTAATTATATATGTGCAACAAATCATATCCCAACCACCAAAAAGACCCTAAGTTCTTAAAATAAACTAATGTACCAAACAAAATTATTTTGGTTAAATTATAAATTAGTGTTGAAAGCTAACTCATCTCCCAAACAAACTTAGCCTATGTGCACATCTATTGTATATATTAAATATTATTTAATTAATGTAATATTGTAAGCATCCATAATAAGATGGAAGAATTGTATTGACTTTCTCCAAAGTTTGTCTGAATGACACAAACTACCCCCTTTAGGCTTTGAAAAACAAAGACTTTATTTAATGTTAATTCCATTTATGTGATTCTTGTTTTTAAATTGTAACATTAATTAATGTCTATTTTCTAACCTAATAATTATAACTCAATTTTATTAATCACACACAACGAAATTACATAAAATATCAATGTATATTCATATTAGAATTTTTAGAATAAGACATAACTCACAATCAAACTTGCTTCTCCCAATTCAATTGGTAAAAATATAGACTAAAGCATATACTACTTTATTATAACATCAATTACTCAAATTCAACCTCAATTTTACATACTCATGTAATTAACATCTATTTTCACCTTACTCTATAAATAAGGGTTTGCTATAGGAACTACAAACAATAACAAATTTTCAAACAATTCAAATTACATGAAATTAGTTATATATACAATTCAAACATCATATATAACACACATAATTACAAACTCGTATCAATTTCTCATACAATCACAAAAAATGCATTCATTTAGAGTTCCCATATGAACTCATGACGATTGAAGATCCACAAGATTAGTTCAATATACAGAATTAAACATAAATGTCATCGATTAGAGTAATGAAGAATCATATAGAAACAAAATTTAAAAAATATACAAATTAATTGGGTTTCCCGTTCATACAATGTATACAATAGAAAGAAGATTGTAGATTAATCTCTCTACCTAATAATTATTCCACGTCTAGAGTAGGATTACTCACTCCCTCTTACCTTAATGAATGCTAGGCAAAAGGCAGGATGACCTCCTTTAATCTTTGGCTCTCAATTTTTTAGGGCGTTAAGCATG